GTCAGGGGAGGAGGAGGGATCAGGAGGGGGAGGGGCCATGATAGGAGGAGGGGCCAGGAGAGGAACGGAAGGAGCCCGGGGATCGGGGGGAGGCAGGGTCACGTGACGAGGAGAGGGGCCGGGAGAGGAGGGGGAGGTGTCAACAGAGAAGTAGGAGAAGCCAGAAGGGTCAGATGAAGAAGAGGAGCCAGTGCAGAGGAAAAGGAGAGGAGACTTGGAAGAACCAGGGATGGGGAGAAGACAAGACAGCAGGGGAGAATGAAAGCAGTCAGAGGGGAGAGACAGATTAAATGGAAGGGGTGGAGTCAGTGTGAAGGGGCGGGGCCAGGGCGTGGCTGGAGGGCTGCCCCTGCGCTCACCTCCTCTCATTCTTCCCGCAGCGACCTGGCCCTGCGCAACTGCCTGCTGACCTCTGACCTGACCGTGCGCATCGGAGACTACGGGCTGGCCCACAGCAACTACAAGGTAGGGCTTCCTTCCGTCGGGGTGGGGGCTGTGGGGTGCTCTGACTCGCCTGACACCGCCCTGGTTCCCCCAGGAGGATTACTACCTGACCCCAGAGCGCCTGTGGATCCCGCTGCGCTGGGCGGCGCCTGAGCTCCTCGGGGAGCTCCACGGGACCTTCATGGTGGTGGACCAGAGCCGCGAGAGCAACATCTGGTGAGGACCACGGGCCGCGGGGGCCGAGGCAGGCCAGGAAGATGGAAGGGTTACTAGATGCCACCGGGTCTACAGATGGGGAAACTGAGTCCTGGGCGGGTCAGGGCTGGGCTCTGACCTCTCTCTGCTCTCTGCAGGTCCCTGGGGGTGACCCTGTGGGAGCTGTTTGAGTTTGGGGCCCAACCCTACCGCCACCTGTCAGACGAGGAGGTCCTCGCCTTCGTGGTCCGCCAGCAGCACGTGAAGCTGGCCCGGCCGAGGCTCAAGCTGCCCTATGCAGACTACTGGTGAGGGCTAGCCCACTCGGGGCTCCTGGCCTGCCGCACCCCACCCAGGATGGTCCCAGCTCTCCGTCTCGTTTCCCATATCACCCACATCCCGTTTGCCCTCCATACCCCTCAAGAGTGAAGAGGAGCTGTCCCCCCCATTTCTGCCAGCATCTGCTACTTGCAGGGGAACACAGGCAGGGAATGGCAGAGCTGTGATTTGAACCCACTTCATCCTAAGAGACCCCTGCTTCTTACCTGTCTGATTCCAGTGCTCACAGCCCAAACGGGGACACCACCACCCTCACCAGCTGTTCCCATCTGCTGCTGTGTCCCCTCTGCCTCCAGGTCCCTGTCACCCTCTCTCTATGGGCATCTTACCCCCACCCCTGCTTCTTTGGGTCTCAGTACCTAGCTCCCCAGCCCAGTTACCTCCTCTGAATCTCTGTCCTCTTCTGTCCCCTCTTCTCCCTGGATCCCTGCCCCACTTCTTGGGTCTCTGTCCCCCTCTCTCTGGGTCTCTGTCCCTCTCTCTCCTTTTTTTTTTTTTT